TCGAATATTATTGACATGTTCATAAATTCTCTTATGTAAAGGGCGAATAGTTCTGCCCACATATTGGAGTCCGCATGGACATATTAAAAGGTATATAATGTTTTTAGTAAAACAAGTAATAAAATCCTTAATGATATATTCTTCTGTTGTATATTTTGTCTTGAATTTACTAATACCTTTTATAGTATTATTTTTGCTACATTTACATCCTACACATTTTCCACATGAATAGAAACCTTTTCTATTCACACTTAAAAACGTATCGGGTGCCTCCTTTCTTGGGTGATTGAAAGTCAAAATCTGCTTTAGGCTAGGTGCACCTCTAAAAGTGATAAAAGGTTTCTCTGGAATAATTACCGATAGTTCTCTATCCTTTTTTAGAAGGTGCCAATGTTTGTTAATAATAGATTTCACTCTTTTAAAATCCTGATTAAAATCTAAAACTAAAGGTACCTTATCAAATTTCCCTTGTATTTTATTGAAAGTACTTTCTCTAAAAACCAATTGATTCTGCTCCAGGTCTTTTGTTTCCTCATATGCTCTACATAGTATGTCAGTGGGATATTGTTTTTGGGAGAATTTGTCTATTATTATTTTTGCTTGTTCTTCAAAAACATTCTGTTCGGTGCAGTTCCTTCTTATCCTTTGTAATTGGCCTTTTGGAATATTATTGAGCCAGGGGGTGTAATGCCCGCTATTATATAGTACATAGCTATTGGCATCTACTTTTTTAAAAAAAAAATTTGTTTTTAAAATGCCGGCTTCTTCATAAATTTCCAAATCTAAAAATTGAATATTTTGACTGCTAAAAGAACTGCTAAAATGTAAACCCCACTCATTTGAATTGATACTTGTTAAAAAAAGTTCTAAATCCAATTGTGTGCCCTTCCATATAAAGAATATATCATCGATATATCTATGGTAGGAGACCAGATTCGTCCCCCAATTATGGCTATTATAAATAACTTCCGATTCCCAACCTGACATAAATAAATTAGCGTAACTAGGGGCGAACCTGGTCCCCATAGCCGTACCTTGTAGTTGTAGATAAAATTTAGAATTAAAATTAAAATAATTATTTTCTAAAATCCATCTGATACTATCTATAAGAAATAAAATGTGTGTATTATTAAAATTACTTGATTTTTCTAGACATTCTTGAATCATTTTACATCCCTTCTCATGAGAAATAGAGGTATAAAGTGCAGTTACATCTGAAGTTACTAGAAAAAATCCATTTTCCCATCTAATATTTTTTATAATTTTAATTACATCTGTGGTATCCATCATACCTCAAGGATACCACAGATGTAATTAAAATTATAAAAAATATTAGATGGGAAAATGGATTTTTTCTAGTAACTTCAGATGTAACTGCACTTTATACCTCTATTTCTCATGAGAAGGGATGTAAAATGATTCAAGAATGTCTAGAAAAATCAAGTAATTTTAATAATACACACATTTTATTTCTTATAGATAGTATCAGATGGATTTTAGAAAATAATTATTTTAATTTTAATTCTAAATTTTATCTACAACTACAAGGTACGGCTATGGGGACCAGGTTCGCCCCTAGTTACGCTAATTTATTTATGTCAGGTTGGGAATCGGAAGTTATTTATAATAGCCATAATTGGGGGACGAATCTGGTCTCCTACCATAGATATATCGATGATATATTCTTTATATGGAAGGGCACACAATTGGATTTAGAACTTTTTTTAACGAGTATCAATTCAAATGAGTGGGGTTTACATTTTAGTAGTTCTTTTAGCAGTCAAAATATTCAATTTTTAGACTTGGAAATTTATGAAGAAGCCGGCATTTTAAAAACAAAAATTTTTTTTAAAAAAGTAGATGCCAATAGCTATGTACTATATAATAGCGGGCATTACACCCCCTGGCTCAATAATATTCCAAAAGGCCAATTACAAAGGATAAGAAGGAACTGCACTGAACAGAATGTTTTTGAAGAACAAGCAAAAATAATAATAGACAAATTCTCCCAAAAACAATATCCCACTGACATACTATGTAGAGCATATGAGGAAATAAAAGATCTGGAGCAGAATCAATTGGTTTTTAAAGAAAGTAATTACAATAAAATACAAGGGAAATTTGATAAGGTACCTTTAGTTTTAGATTTTAATCAGGATTTTAAAAGAGTGAAATCTATTATTAATAAACATTGGCACCTTCTAAAAAAGGATAGAGAACTATCGGTAATTATTCCAGAGAAACCTTTTATCACTTTTAGAGGTGCACCTAGCCTAAAGCAGATTTTGACTTTCAATCATCCAAGAAAGGAGGTACCCGATACGTTTTTAAGTGTGAATAGAAAAGGTTTCTATTCATGTGGAAAATGTGTAGGATGTAAATGTAGCAAAAATAATACTATAAAAGGTATTAGTAAATTCAAGACAAAATATACAACAGAAGAATATATCATTAAGGATTTTATTACTTGTTTTACTAAAAACATTATATACCTTTTAATATGTCCATGCGGACTCCAATATGTGGGCAGAACTATTCGCCCTTTACATAAGAGAATTTATGAACATGTCAATAATATTCGAAAAGGCATAGACCATCATAGTGTGTCCGCTCATTTTAAAAAATATCATAATAAAGATCCTAGTGGCCTCACATTCTTAGGAATTCAAATTGTTAAAAAACCATGGCGAGGAGGTAACTTCATTCAATGTATAGGAAAAGAAGAGATGAAGTGGGTTCACACACTGGAGACCCTTGAACCAAAAGGTCTCAATATTGAATTTGATTTATATAATTTTATTATGTGAATTTTATATTTTAGATGAATTTTTCATTTGAGAATAATCACTCTCTCTTCTTTCCACTCATTAGTAGGTGAAATTGCATTTATGTATTTTAATGGAGGATTTTTTCTTTTTAGATTTTATATGTTAAGATGTTTATGACATTTCATGATTTTGTTTGGGACATGTATGTACTTTTATTATTATGTATATTATTATTTTTTTGCCATAAATTTTTTTGTCATATTCCATTTACTGCTTGGGACTTCTTTATATAGATATTTAGGGGATCTACCCCGTTTATATGAGACTTTGGCCATTCATTTACATATTTCACGCCCACAACGTGGGCTTTAAAAGTCAGGACCAGCTGTATTAGGACGTGATCTGAGGAAGCCTTTTCTGGGCGAAACGCGTCATCACGTTCGCATACGACGTCATCACGTTATCACGTGACCGCACGGAGCTCCGAACCCGGAAGTGCCCTGTATAGTGCCGCGAGTTGCAGAGATTGTGAACCCTGGTTTCATTTCTTCAAGTATCTAATGGGACACTGGCCTTCTATGGGGGAAAAGGAGTTTTTTTATTTGGAAGAAATAAATATCGTTTGATTCAGCTGGCGTCCTGCTCTTCACTGTCATCAAATCCCTGTGTTGTGGATTACATGCTGAAAAGTTAGAGCAGACTTTCACTGCTCTTTCCTTGTGAGTTTTATTCCATTTTTCTTGGCTGTTTTTATGTTATTTAAAACAGTATTATGCTATATGCTTTCTCTCTTTTTTATGTACCATACCATATGTATTTTACTTTGAGACATATTTCCCTACTGTAAGTGACCATTTGTATATTTTTATCACCCTTCACTTGCAAGTTTTTGCACATTTATTATTTTGAGTGTGATTTTATTGAATATACACTTTTCATTGCACGATTTATTTGCACTTGTTGCACTTTAAATTTTAAAGGTACAGCGCACCTTTTTTGTTTTATATCCTTTGTATGGTGTTTTTTGAGCTTGTACACTTTTAGGTGCTGCTCTACCTTTATTCTTAATATTTGCACTGATACATTTATATTTTTAGCGCCTACATTGCTTGTTTGTTTGTTTTTATTCCCTCTATTATGCCCCTGTGGGAGATGACAGCCTCAAAACTCTGATGATGGAAGAAAACTGCTTTCTCAACAAGCTTATTATCTTTGAAAAATCAAGGCATGCACCTCACCACATACACTCTAGGTTGAGGAGCTCTTTAGAAAAATTTGATAAATAACAAGAGCAATGCCTCTGTCTCTCCATTGTGAGAAAATCAGGAATTGGGCAGACCTTTATCTTCAAGGCATTCAGGTGATTCCTATAAAGGGTATATATAATTGGCTAGCATATGCCTTAAAGGTACACTTAAGACCCCTGAAAAACTTCATCAGAAAAAGGCGGGCAAACAATTTTTTATTTAATTTAAGGGAGATGCCTGACGTGATGGGTTAATAGAACACTTTGAAAGTTAAAAACAAATATTCATTGTTAATGAGGTCTGGGTCCAGCTAAAGTACTCATTTTTGTCAATTCAAACTATTTAAAATTTTAGGTCAAAATAGTGGTTTGGAAAACATAACTGACCTTGAGAAATGTTATAATGTTGTAACGGCACCCCCAGGCATAAAAGGGGTTAAACCGCCGTTTAGTAGATCTTCCCCTTCCAGAGATACAGGCACAGCTACTGTAGACACCAATCCACCGAACTGGAGAAGCATATGAATGCCATAAACAGCTGAACCGGAACCATACGAATGCTGTAAACAGCCGAATAGGAAAAACCATACGAACAGGTTTACACTCCTAGCAGTCAAATTGGAACAGCATACAGTAAATCCCCCCAAGAATGAGACAAAGCTCCGTGTTGAGGGTCAAGCAGTGAACAGACAGAGCTGTGGGTTTATTGTTCTTATATACACATTAGTACCACCCACAGGGTTTTGGAACACAACCAATAAACACATACAATACACTCAGACACTCCCACACAAAATCCTCCCCTCTGCCTGTGATACTATTACCTTACAGAATGGGTAATGTAATTGTCATAAGCAGAGAAATACAATTTTTCCACATTATTCATAACTTGAAAAGTATACATCACATTTACATTTTCAGAATCAGCATACTCCAATTACAAACATGTGTCAAAATCATCCAAATTGGTCCAGAGGTTCAAAAGATAGATCGTAGTCCTTTGTGACCAAAGGAAGCATGGCTTTTCTGCCCAAAACCAGTTCCACAGAGTCTTCTATCCTGGAGATAATTGTGAAGTAATCCAATTATCTCCAAGGACAGAGGCAAAACTCCATTGAACACATGGCAGCAAAAGACAATAAAACACATAAAAACATATAACTGTGCAGCCATTGCACAAAACAGGTACATTCAACATATCCCCAGATAGCTCAGATCTGAGCGCACATTATTACTGTATGGTGCTCAGAGCACACACATCCAGTTCAATTGACATGGAGCCAAAGTCTTTCCCATAGTCTTTCATTATACGAATGGGCTCCATGGCATAGCTATCTGGGGTATCACCGCTCAAACAGTGCCAGCACGGAATGACCCGGCTTTCGTGTTTCCGCAGGGGAAAATCAAGCGTTTCAACATGGGGCCATAGTCTAAAGGCAGTAGGTGGGCAACCAGGCTCCTCCAATGCACAGTGGCGAGATTGGTCTCGTCACAAATGTGAATTTGCATCAGTGACAGTCCACTTCAGACATTTTTATATAAATGCATATTCTATAGTCATTATAACCTAGGGATATTGTTCCACACCTTATAGTTTTGCACAGCAGAAAATACATTTTGGTTTGAATTTACTAACAGACATATATGATATAAAGTGCATCTGTCATAAAATTAAAAACTACATGCACGTTGCTACGAAATGTATATTTTACATTTTACCTTACTTTATAATATAACTTTATACCCATTAATTAATATATGCATAAACGTGAAATTATGGGTCAATGTGCTATTGAAAAACATTCTGATGGTTTTCCTGTTAATTGTCCCTCTGAATGGCACATTTCTTACTCAATAAATTTCCTTTTAATGGTTGAAGTGGGCACACGGATCTGGATATTCATACAGCACATGTACCATTCAGGAAACTAATATCAGGTACAGTGGGACCTCGGTTTATGAATTTAATGTGTTCTCCAGGACGTTTCGTATTGCTAAAAATTCGTAAACCGAAACACGATTTCCCACAGGAATGCATTGAAAACCAATTAATGCGTTCTGGAGGTGAGAAAAAAGTCAAATAAAGTATTTTATCTGTTCAAAACTCTTTATATAGTGCACTTTAAAGGCATAAATACTGTACAGGGACATGATTAATCAAGCAATAACATTTCAAACATCCAACTTTGTTTTAAAACATCACACATCAACTTTTAAAACATGGCAGACTGTTGGTAACATGGTACAGTACACTTCAACTGTACATAAATCACACGTCAACAGGGAAAACATGGAAAATTTCAAAACAATTTTAACACTTTTTGGAAGATGAGGAGGACAAGGGCAATTGGGCAGCACTAACACAAGCAGGTTCTTCTTCATCTCTAGGCTGTTTTTGTAGGAACCTTTAAATTGTCTGCTGCCTCTGGCGCCTTTTAAGCTGCTCACAATTCTGTGGGCTAGAGCCTTATCTGGGTGGTGCTGCTGTACAAAAGTCTGTAGGTTTACTCACATTTGGCATGCCTCCTTGAGTTCCGTGGAAGAGAGCTGTTCTCCACATTTCCTCCTCCTCCTCAAATGCGGTCTGCTCCTCCATCGCCTCCTTCTGCAATTCCACCAGCTCCTCGGTGGTTAGGTCATGGTCGGGTTCCTCCAACAGCTCGTAGACATCCTCCTCATTCACCTCCAGGCCCATGGTCCTCCCCAAGGAAACAATTTCCTCCAACACTGTTGACTCTGGTGCAGGTGCAGAAGCACTGGAAGCAGGTTTCACAACACAGTCTGGCCACAGGTTGCGCCAAGCAGAATTTAGGTTTGTCTGTCTGACCCCGGCCCAGGCAATGGTGATAATCTGCAGACAGCTCACAATGTCAAAATGCTCACTCCAAAATTCATGGAGGGTGAGGCTTGAGCGCTCTGTCATCTCAAAGCATCGCCAGAAAAGCTTCCTTGTGTAAAGTTTTTTTAAATTGGAGATGACCTGCTGGTCCATTGGCTGGAGTAGTGGGGTGGTGTTAGGCGGAAGGAACATGACCTTGATGAAATTAAAGTCCTACAGCAAGTCTTCCTCGAGGCCTGGAGGATGGACAGGAGCATTGTCCATGAGCAGCATGGCCTTGAGTGGCAGGTTATTGTCCACAAGGACCAAAAACCGCATTGACCCACTTCACAAACAAGAGGCATGTGACCCAAGCCTTTGGGTTAGACTGCCACAAAACACTCAACTGCTCCTTGTTCACCTTGTGTTTATTGAAGGCCTATGGGTTCTCTGAATGGTAGACAAGCAGGGGCTTGAGCTTAAGGTCCCCACTGGCGTTGGCACAGAACAGGAGGGTGAGACGGTCCTTCATCGGCTTGTGGCCATGCAATGAGGTCTCTTCTTCTATGATTAAGGTACTCTTTGGCATCCTCTTCCAGAAGAGTCAATTCTCGTCACAGTTGAAGACCTGCTGAGGAAGGTAGCCCTCTGAAACCTCCAGGAACTCCGTAGCAAATTCCTCAGCTGCAGCAACATCGGAATTTGCAGCCTCTCCATGCCTGACCACATTGTGGATGCCAAATCTGGTCTTGAACCTTTGAAACACCCCCTGCTGGCCTTGAAGCCTTCTGCATCTGCTGACGTTCCTGGCTGTTGTTTGAGGAGGTCAGCGTGCAAGGCCTTGGCTTTTTCGCAGATGATCGCCTTGGTCACTGAGTCCCCTGCACGCTGCTTCTGTTTAATCCAGAGCAGGATCAACTTCTCGACCTCCTCCAGAACAGGTGGCCATTGCTTGGAGACCCTGGTGACTCCCTTGGCTGCATTTCTCCCAGTTATCTTCTCTTTCACTTTTAGGATTGTACCGATTGTGGATGCACTCCTTCCATACTCTTTGGCAAGGTCAGTCAATCGCATTCCTCCTTCATGCTTCCTGATGATTTCTTTCTTGTCCTCAAGTAGAATCATCTCCTTCTTCCTCTTCCCAGCATCTGCTGCTTTCTTGGGTGCCATGACACCACCGTCACTAAGTATGCAAAAAAAAAAATTAATGCTTTACACCCACATGAGCTGGCATGGAAACCACAGTAAAAGGCATGCACAGCACATGAGCTGTAACAGGCATGCACAGCACATGAGCTGTAACAGGCATGCACAGCGCATGAGCTGGCATGGAAACCATAGTAAAAGCCATGCACAGCATATGAGCTGTGACAGGCATGCACAGCACATGAGCTGGCATGGAAAACAACCCCACATTGCAAAACACACAGTACAGTACTGTAACAGGCATGCACAGCATATGAGCTGTGACAGGCATGCACAGCACATGAGCTGGCATGGAAAGCAAACCCACAATGCAAAACACACAGTAACAGGCATGCACAGCACATGAGCTGGCATGGAAATGACCCCACAATGCAGAACACACAGTAAAAGGCATGCAAACAACTAAGCTCAGATCCCTACCTTTCCACCTCTTGAGATGCACCAAAAAGGCTCCAAAACTTGCTGAAAATGGCTCCAAAAGGCTCCACAACTTGCTGCAAATGGCTCCAAAAGCCTCCAAAACTTGCTGCAAATAGCTCCAAAAGGCTCCACAATTTGCTGCAAATGGCTCCAAAAGGCTCCACAACTTGCTGCAAATGGCACCAAAACCTCTACTACACCTCCACACTCCTCACTCACGTGCTACCTAGACTCCAGTATGCAGGGGGCGGAGCTATAAACCGGGACACTTGTTTCGTAGTGCGAAAAAGATTCGTAAACTGAGGCATTTTTTTAAACGAATTCTCATTCGTAAACCAAATTTTTCGTTTACCGAGGCGTTCATTAACCGAGGTTCCACTGTATATGTAATTTATAGACTTGTGCATTTGGTTGAATTGAGATATGTCAGAATTTTGGCCATTCGGTAGATCATCTGAATTCTGTAACTTTAAAAAAGGCATTTGGCACAAAGTAAACAAAACAGACAATGGATGAACAGTTTCAATTGCTTTGTGATTGAGAGTTCATTCCAGTAGGCAAAAAATAATATAATTTTCCTGAAACAACCCCATAGTTGAAATACGTCTAAACTGAAACATCATATGAATAAATTTCCTACCACCCAATTGTATTTTATTTTGGACATATCTTTTCATCCAAGACACATTTTTGACCATAGTCCAGTCTAGTATTTTATTCCATATATTTTATAGCACTATAGGTACATTAAGCTTTTAAGGACGACGGGCATTCTATGAGATCCTCGCGATCACATTGCCGGAATGGCTGTCTGCAGCTCTGCCTGCAGAGGAACTGCCTGGGATGTCAGACAGTCCCCCATATGCAAGTAATAATTTTTTTTTAAATAAGGAAAGAGTTTAAAACAGTTTATAAATAAACATAACATATTACATACACATACATACGTATACACATACACACACTAACATTCCAAGAATATTTTAAAATTAAAGTATATATATACTTATTTCAAAATACACTTAGTAAAGTAAATTTTATGTATATATATATATATATATATATATATAGCGGGAGCTTGGCGCTGTGGGAGGGTCTTCCCTGGCATATAAATCTCCTAGTGGGCTTCCCCTCTTACCTGACATCACCTTCGAGAAGTTGCCCTCTCACCTTTCCCCTTTTATTAATAATTCTACCAGGCCTAACTGGTTGTCGGCTTCAGTACAACCAACTTTTGTAAATTTGAGTTATGTTTTATTTTTTGTTTAGTTCTATTTGGCTTATGTTATTGACCACAAATATACCCTTGATGAATTTGTAATATATGCACCATTTTTAAAGAAAACATGAGTGATCAGGCAAAACACATTTCTTTTATTTCTTATGGGATTCCTATTCAACTGTAGGTTATAACAGAATGGCACAATCATAAAATAAATCATGGCAACAAAGAAAAAAATTACCCCTGTTTAAAAGTCTGCATACCCTTAGTTTTTAATACTGTGTATTGCCCCCTTTAGCATTAACAACAGCATGCAGTCTTTTGTAATAGTTGTCTATGAGGCCCCTAATTCTCACAGGTGGTATAGCTGCCCATCCATCTTGGCAAAATGTCTCCAGGCCATGCAAAGACTTTGGCGGTCTTGCATGAACCGCACGTTTGAGATCTCCTCAAATTGGATGGTTTATCTTAAGGTCAGAAGACTGTGATGGCCACTCCAAAACCTTCACCTTTTTCTGCTGTAATCATTGGAGAGTCAACTTGGCCTTGTGCATAGGGTCATTGTCATGCTGGAAAGTCCAAGAGCGTCCCATGTGCAGCCTTCGTACAGAAGAATGCAAATTGTCTGCCAGTATTTTCTGGTAACATGCTGCACTCCTCTTGCCATCAATTTTCACAAGATTCTCCTTGACTTTAGAGCTCACCCCCCAAAAAAACATTAGTGAGCCACCACCATGCTTCACAGTGGAGATGGTATTTTTTTCCTTGTAGACCTTGTTGACCCCTCTCCAAACATAGCTTGACTATAAAGCTCTATTATGGTCACGTCATGCCAAATTACAGCATGCCAGAAGCTTTGAGGCGTGTCAAGGTATTGTTGGGCATATTGTAACCGGGATTTTTTGAGGCATTAGTGCAGTAAATGCTTGTTTCTGGGAACTCGACCATGCAGCTCATTTTTATTCAAGTATCATCGTATTGTGCTTCTTGGAACAACTGCACCGTCTTTTGTCAGAGCAGCCTGCATTTCTCTTTGGATATCTTTCTATATCCTTTTCCATCTTTATAAAGTTTGATTACCGTGTTACGCAGTTCTTTTGACAGTTCTTTTCTGCTCCCCATGGCTCAGTATCTAGCCTGCTCAGTGCATCCACTTGAGAGCTAACAAACTCATTGACTATTTATACACAAACACTAATTGCAATTTAAAAAGCCACAGGTGAGGGAAATTAACCTTTAATTGCCATTTTAACCTGTGTGTGTGTGTCACCTTGAGTGTCTGTAAAGAGGTCAAACATTCAAGGATATGTAAACTTTTGGTAAGGGCCATTTGTTGGTTTCTGCTATTATGATTTAAAAAGGAGACAAACAACTATGTTATAATAAATGGCTTCATATGATCACTATCCTTCAATTATACATTTTTCATTATTAGTCATATCTTCAAAATGAATGCCAAAATTTCACAATGTCTGCCAGGGTATGCACACTTTTCAGCACAACTGTATATGAGAAGGTTAAGACTGTAAGCAGAACCTGTAGTTGTGGTAAGGATTACCCAGCCTATGAATACTCAGGCCTCCCTTCCTCTGTGTTGAGACTGCCTGGTTCAGTACAGAACAATCTGCTTCTGGTTCAAAGGTCATCAACACAAAGTCAAGAAAAGCACTCTAGAGGATAGTGCGTGAGTACCAGGAGCTGACTTGTGAAAATAACTTAAGATCAGATGAAGTAACTAGTATACAAAAATAAATGATATACAAAAATGTGTAAAAAATGTGTAAAAAATCGGATATGTAAAATGCTGGGTACTATGCCTTTAAAAATTGTAAAACAAAACAGAAGTGAAGGTATAGACACTAAGTGACATAAAAATATAGTGAATATGTGTCAAAATATAAACTGAAATGCAGTAAGATAAGCCCATAAAAATATATGGAAACAGTATGTATCACAAAAAATAAAAAGATATATATATATATATATATATATATATATATATAAAGCAAAAAGGAAAGAGATGCACTCTCAGGTCTTTGTAAAAAAACTCGATATTATTTAATAACAGGTAACATACATCTGATCGACGTTTCGACCTCTTCAGGTCTTCCTCAAGATCGAAAGAGGTCGAAACGTCGATCAGATGTATGTTACCTGTTATTAAATAATATCGAGTTTTTTTCTACAAAGACCTGAGAGTGCATATCTTTCCTTTTTGCTTTACATATCCAGCGTGGGATTGCACCAAGGCAGTCTTTTATTGATTCATTGAAAGGGTGAGTGCCACTATACTTGTATGTATATATATATATATATATATATATATATTAATGTGCATGGTGAATAGCACTTCCACTAGGTGATGAACTGGATATAAATGAGAATAGCAATGTTGCAAAAAATAATAATAATAACAATGTTGCAAATAATACCAAAAAAAGCAACAAAGTGACTAGGACTGTGTATTTGAGGCAGTCAATCAATTGCTATAGACTGAAGTAAGGTGAAAAAACTGGATATAGTAAAAAAAACAGTTTATTATAAACAACAATATAAATTAATTATCTTGGTATAAAAACCAAAAAATATAGGTCAGGAACAGTAGATGATAATGTTACCAGTCTTATGAAAGTGGACAGATGTTATAAACCCTCGGACTGGCTTAGGATGGATATGGATTGAATATTGCCAATTTGTCTCCTAAATGCAGCTGCCGGTGAGGACGGCGTGCGTCTGGATGTGCGCCCCAACAAGACCTCACTCCAGGGGACGGACAGAGCAGACAGTCTCGGTAGACGTATTCTCCAAGGGATATGTGTGCAAAGCGATCTTTCTGCTGGTTCAATCAGTCTGTATCCTGCCTTGAAATGTGATTCTTTGTTAAACTAATTTGCATATGCCCACCCAGAATCCTTTGCGGTTGTAACATCACTGCAGATTTGGGTTTTCTGTGGGAAAAGCAAGTCGCATGGCTTGGCTGGTGTGCAGATTTTTGTTTAACATTGTATTAACTACTACATAAGTATATAAGTATATATCAAGATATATATCTATATATAAATTTAAAAAATAAAAAATTATATATATATATATATATATATATTAATTCTATGTATATATTACGTAATAGTTTTACATAATTAGATCATTTTATTAATTACAATTTGCGGGACCTTCCTGACAACCCAGGCAGAAAGTCCAGGGAATTTAATTTGCTAGCACTAAATTTAACCCTGTAACTTTCCAAGACACCATTAAACCTGTACATGGGGCATACTTTTTTACTCGGGAGACTTCGTTGAACACAAATATTAGTGTTTCA